AATGAAATAAAATGTTTAATATGTTTAGGCATAGTTTTATTTTGTTTTTGTTTTTAATTTGATGTTTATAAGTGTTTTGCCTGTATGCATGTAAGTGCACCCTTGTTAGTTAGTGCAGGTGGAGGCCAGAAGAGGGCATCTGGAGTTACAGGTTAGCTGCCATGTGCTAGGAACTGAACCTGGCTACTCTAAGTAGCCACTCTAAGTGTTCTTAACCACTGAGCAATCTCTCCAGCCCCTCCCTTTTTTTAAAGACAGGGTCTCATGTAGCCCAAGATGATTTCAAACTCCCTAGAGTCAAGGATGAGTTAGATGAGCTTCTATTTCTATCATCCAACTGCTGGGATTATAGATATACTCCACCATACCTGCTGGCATATGCAATCACATTTGTCAAGTAATGTAAGTTGTTTGAGACAGGATCTTATGATTTGTTATTACCCAGGCTGGTCTTAAACTCCTTCGCTCAAGCAATCCTCCTGCCTTACCTTCCCAAGTAGACTACAGGCTTAAGTCACTGTACCTGGCTCATATATTCTGTTTTGATCTTTATCATGCATTTTCATGTACTATAATCATGTTATATCTGCCCAAAATCTTTTAAAGGATATTTTACTTATCATTTTTATTTGTAAGTATGAGTATATTGCCAGCATGTGTGTTAGTGCACCTGTGTCTCTCCATGCCCATACAAGTCAAAAGAGGACATTGGATCCCCTGGAACTGGAGTTACAGATGGTTGTTAGCCATCATGTAGGTGCTGGGAACCAAACCCAGGTTCTCTGCAAGAGTAGTCAGTGCTTTTAACCATTGAACCATCTCTCCAGCACCCCCAAGATATTTTTAAAATTAGACTTAAATGTCTTTTAGGGGCTGGGTATATATGACTTACTGGTAGAACCCTTGTCTAGGGTTACATCAATAGTTCCCATACACACAAAAAGCTCATGCCTGTAATCTCAGTACTTGGAAGGCTGAGGCAGGAGGATAGCCTTGAGTCTGAGAGACCCAGCCAATAGTGAGTTTCAGGCCAGCCTGAGCAACAGAGGGAGCCCCATCTCAAGTGAAATAAAAGAAAAAATCTAATCTTTTAAACATATGCTTTGAGAAGATATAATATTCCTTTACTTGAGGACAATTTGATGTATTTGAATCAAGTCTGGAATTTTTTTTTCTTTTTGAGACAGGGTCTCTCTGTAGCCCTAGCTGGCCTGAAACTCACTATGTAGACCATGCTGGCCTTGAACTCATAGAGATCAGCCTGCCTCTGCCTCCCATGTGCTGGAATCAAAGGCATGCAAGTCTGGCATGCCCAGCAAGTCTGGAAATTTTTATGTACATTTCCATGAGTTTAAAGTGATCAAACTCATAAGGTCATGAGTGTATCCTCATGAGGGAACAGACAGTATTTTATATGTCCACATAAATGTGGGCATGAAGCATATGACTAACTTCTCTCCCAGTGTCTAGTTGCCATGGTTACTATAGCCTCAAATCCAGGTTCTAGAAATATTGGTGAAACCACTGTTGACTACATGTCTATAACCTATTCAGATAAACTTGAGGCCACTAGAAAGACAAAAATGGTGCAGCCTGCCTGTGATGCTGCAGTGGAGTAGACACAGTACTCCCAAGGGCTGCAGTGGGAGCTCTGAGATCAAAACTTCTTTCAGAATCACACCAAAGTTCTGACCTTTTCACATCCATTTTCCGCTATTTTCAAAGGCTGTACAGCGTAAGAGAACATACATTGCTCTGACCACTAATGGCATGTGTGCTCATGAACATGGTTTTGCATTTCCTCAATATTAAGTGCTAACAGAATAAATGTGAGCATATATAAATTGGACCTCAGTAACTTTTAGGAATACAAGAGAAAACACTAAAAAGCACGGCAGGAAGGAGATTTCAATGACTCTATTCTCTCATCAGTGACCTGGGAAAGGGGCCAGGTGCTTATCATCCATTCCTCTGCCTTCCACATCTTCAACACTAAGATCCTCTGAACCTCTAACACTGAGAGTTGGTAGTGCCTCAGGAGCCAATGCTAGCCCTTCACAGTTGTAGGATCACAGAACTATACAGGCTGAGAGAAGTGAGCTAACTTCCTGGAGTTGCATAAGCTAAGAAGGGGTGAAACATCTATGTTAGCTCAGAAGCTAGGCATTGAACTACCTCACTCAAAAAGGAGTAGTAGTACCACACAGGTAGGCAGGGCGGGAGAGAGACTCCAGATCTCACTGATGTCTGCTCCCTTGTCTTGAAGTCAACATTAAAGGGCATTTTCTTTACTGGTCTATTTGGTGTCATTTGTAACTCCCTTTACACTATGCCTGTTTTCCATTGTATCGATTTTTTTTTGTCTTTTTGAGACAGGGTCTCCCTGTAGCTCCAGCTGTCCTGGAACTCACTATGTAGACCAGGCTGGCCTTGAACTCACAGAGACCCGCCTGCCTCTGCCTCCTGAGTGCTGGGATTAAAGGCGTGCACCACCACGCCTGGCTTGTATCGATTTTTAAAAATAAATTGTATTTATTATTTTTACTTTATGTGTATGAATGTATTGCCTGCATGTATGTGAGAGCAACCATGTTGTGCAATGCCTGGGGAGATCAGAAGAAGGCATCAGATCCTCTGGAACTGGAGTTAGAGACAGTTGTCCCAGACCATGTTGGTGCTGGGAACCAAACCTGGGTCTTCTGCAAGAGCAACAGTACTCTTAACCACTGAGCCATCTCTCCAGCCCTTTCCATTGTATCTATGGCAGCCAAATCCTTCTGTACATCTGGGAATTAAGCATTATAAATGACAATAAATTCCTATGCTGGGGCACAGCTTGATGGTAGAGCATTTCCTTAGCATATACAAGGCCTTTGGTTCAATCCTCATCTCTGAGAAAAAAAGTACCCCATGTAGAATTTTTAATTGTTTGAATTTATACAATAACACTACTGTAAAAATGCACTCACTTTTAAATAAATTTTGCTTCTTTCCAAAAGAAATTGCCACTTCAGTGTTGTTTTCTGTTCACTTGTCATTGCAAGAAACTCATTTACCTGGTTAAAAAAAATCAAGTATTTCTGAAGCAGACAAAGACAACTCATTTTACAACACCTTGAAACATACTTAGAACTGGATTTTACTCACAGTAATTACAGCACAATTCTTTTGATAGCAAAGATAAAGCATGAAAGGCTATCACCAAAATTTTTAAGCCAGAATTTGGAGCCAAAGTTTAATGGTAAGTTTGTTTTTTTTTTTGGTGTTTTGGAGGTTTTGTTTGTTTGTTTGTGTTGGTCTTTTTGAGACAGGGTCTCCCTGTAGCCCCAACTGGCCTGGAACTCACTATGTAGACCAGGCTGGGCTTGAACCCACAAAGATCCTCTAACTCCCAAGTGCTGGTACTAAAGGCATGTGTCACCATACCCAGCCTAATGGAAAGTTTAAGAACCCTATTTTATTTGTTTTTTCTTTTCCTTTAATTTTTTTGTTTTTTTAAAAAAATATTTTTATTGAGTTGAGAATCTCATGCAATATATTTTGATCATATTCAGACTCCCTACCCCCTCTTCATCCCGACTTACTTCTCCCCCACTGGATGTCCTCTATTATTATTTGTCTTTTTTTTTTTGTCTTTTTGAGACAGGGTCTCCCTGTAGCCCCAACTGGCCTGGAACTTGCTATGTAGACCAGGCTGGCCTCAAACTTACGAAGATCCTCCTGCCTCTGCCTCCCAAGTGCTGGTACTAAAGGCGTGCACCACCACACTGAGCTTATTTGTCTTTTTTTAAGGCCTATAGAGTCTAACCTGTGTTTCTCAAATGCTCTTGGGTGTGGGTCTATCCTTTGGAATCTAGTCAACCTACCAAGTATATATGTGGCTTGGCAAACTATGCCCACTGGTGTAATAGTGGCATGAATTTTGTGGTTTTGGAAGTAGGGTGTCATGTTCATGTAGCTCAGGCTACCTTCAAACTCACTAAATAGTCAAGGACAGTCACAAACTCATGATCCTCCTGTCTCCACCTCACAAGTGCTGGGATTATAGGTATGTAACACTATGCCCTGCTGTGACCTGGTTTTGACAGTATAAAATTTGTGACGGTCTCCAACAGTCTCTGCTGTTCTGTAGCTACCGACCAGGGAGAGAATGTGCACTGACCACACAGCTGAGTGGAGGAAATATCAATACAGCCTCCTTCTAGAAAGTCACTGAATGCTGATCAGTATTTCCAACATTTTATTTCACTCATTGTAATTGACGATATAAAATATCATATTTGGTCCTCCATTTTGTTGAAGGCCTTTCATTATTCATAATGGCCCAAATTAAGCTGGGCATGGTGGCACACACCTTTAATCCCAGGATTCGAAGGCAAAGGCAGGTTGATCTCTCTAACATCAAGGCCAGCATGGTCTACATAGTGAAGTCCAGGCCAACTGGGGCTACAGGGAGACCTTTGCTCAAAAAATCAAAAGAGGGGCTAGAGAGATGGTTCAGCAGTTAAGAGCACTGACTGCTCTTGCAGAGGACCTGGGTTCACTTCCCAGCACCTATATGGCAGCTGACAATCATATATAACTCCAGTTCCAGGGGATCTGACACCATCTTCTGACCTCTGTGGGTATTGCACAACATGCATGCACTTATACACATGCAGGCAGTAAACTGATACACATAAAATAAAATAATTTTTTAAACCAAAAGAAAAAAATTAGCTGATCTTTTAATAGTTCATTAAAACTATGTATGTGTAAGCTAAGATTGCCTTTCCCAAGATCTCTTCATTTTTTTTGTTTTATTATTATTATTTTTTTCTCTTTTTGAGACAGGGTCTCCCTGTAGCTCCAGCTGTACCAGAACTCACTATGTAGACCAGGCTGGCCTCAAACTCACAAAGATCTGCCTGCCTCTGCCTCCCAAGTGCTGGGATTAAAGGCATGTGCCACCACGGCCGGCATTTTTAAATTTTTTAAAATTAAAAATTTTTAAATTAATTTTTTATTTACTTTTTATGTGTATGAGTGTATTGTCTGCATGTATGTGAGTGCACCTGTGTTGTGCAATGCCGTGGAGGTCAGAAGAGGGCTTCGGATTCCCCTGAAACTGGAGGTAAGGAAGGTTTGTAGCCGCCATGTGGGTGCTGGGACTCAAACCTGGGTCCTCTGCAAAAGCAGTCAGTGCTCTTAACTGCTCAGCCATCTCTCCAGCCCCATCTTTAAATTTTTAAAAGTATTTTATTGTTTTTATTTTATGTGTATGAGTGTTATGCCTGCATGTAGGTAAGAGCACCCGTGTCATGCAATGCCCACAGAAGACAGAAGAGACGGTCGGATCCCCTGGAACTGGAGTTAGGGACAGTTGTTAGCTACCATGTGGGTGCTGGGATTCGAACCCAGGTCTTCTGTAAGAACAATCAGTGTTCTTAACTGCTGAGCCATCTCTCCAGCCCCATTTTTAAATTAAAAAATTTTTTTATTTTATGAGTGCATTGCCTGCAAATATATAAGTGCACCTATGTTATGCAATGCCCATGGGGGTCAGAAGAGGGCATCAGATACCCTGGAACTGGAGTTATGGATAGTTGTTAGCCACCATGCAGGTTCTGGGAATTGAACCTGGGTCCTCTGCAAGAGCAGCCAGTGCTCTTAACCACTAAGCCATCATCTCTCCAGCGCCCCCATTTTTAAATTTTTATTTATTTATTTATTTATTTTATGTGTATGAGTGTTTTGCCTACATGTATGTAAGTGCACCTGTGTGCAATGCCCATGGAGGCCAGAAGAGGGTGTTGGATCCCTGGAACTGGAGTTACAAATGCTGTTATCTGTCCAGTGGATACTGACTCATGAAACTAGGTCCTCTTCAAGGACAGCCAGTGCTCTTAACCTCTGATTAATTTCTATCAAATATCCAACAAAAGAATATTGCAAAAGAATATTTAAGAATAGTAGAAGTATTTCTAGAAGTTTCTTGCTTTCTGCTATTTACCGTGTATCCCAAAGTTTTCTCAGCAACACTTCCTGTAAGGCTGCAGGAATGGAGCGTTCCAGTATGATCAGTAAGATCAACCAGCATATCAAAACTGAGAGAAGCAGATTTAAATCTAGGAGCATTTTTGTTGCAAATTGTACATGTGTTGGAGGCTTCATTTACAATATAACCACAGCTGGAACTGGGAAAAAAAACAGTTAATGTAAAAATGTAATGATCCTAAGTAACAAATTTTATCTAGTAGAATTATATTTTAATATTCAAGGTCATAGCCAGAAGTCATGGCACTCAGGAGACTCAGAGAAAGGATCACAAGTTCAATGCCAGCCTGGGCTACATGTTGAACCCCTGTCTGAAAACCATAGCATCTGAGTCAGCCTATAAAATACCCACCAAATCATGTAGGATGTGAGGCACAGGGGAAACAATGCAAATGCACTTTCTACTTGGCCCCCCTCATTGCGAGCACTGTGATTCATCTGAAATTGGGGACTCCATACTCACTCTCCTGCCTCATTTCCTCTGCTCAAGTTCCAGCCCAGCCCTGAGGTTCAGTTGTCTTATTTCACTGTATAGTCTTTCTTTCCTACACCCCAGAGCACACCATCCCTTTCTTAGAACAGCTGGAGCTTATTCTAGCACTCACATATATGGTCACATCTGTTTGTTAGTGCAGGTATGCCCATTCCATCTCTGGTTTTTTATTTCTATTTTTTATTTATTGTTGTTTTAAATTTATGTATATGAGTGTTTTGTCTGCATGTATATAAATACACCATGTGTGTATAATGTGTATGGAGGCCAGAAGAGGGCATTGGATCCCCTGAAACTAGAGTTACAGATTGTTGTTAGCCACCATGTAGATGCTGGGAACTGAACCCAGGTCCTCTGCAAGAGCAACCAGTGCTCTTAACCGCTGAGTCATTCTCCAGCCCTGGGTTTAGTTTTTTGTTGTTGTTGTTGTTGTTTTTTAAGGCAAAGTCTCATGTGGCCCAAGTTTGCCTTGAACTACTTGTTCCTCCTGCCTTCACTTCCCAAGTGCTGAAATTATAGAAGTACACCATCTTACAAGCTCAACCTCTCTATAGTCTTTTTAAAATTATTTTTATTTATTTTATGTGTATAACTGTCATGCCTGCTTATGTATAAGTGGACCCATGTCATACAGTGCCCATGAAAGACAGAAGAGGGCGTCTGATTCCCTGGAATTGGAGTTAAAGACAGCTGTTAGCCGCCATGTGGGTGCTGGGATTCGAACTTTAGTCTTTAAGAACAATCAGTGCTCTTAACTGGCAAGTCATCTCACCAGTCCCTCAATCTCTCTATATTCTTTTTTTAAAAATATTTTTATTATTATTTTTTATGTGTATGTGTGTATTGTCTGCATGTAGGTATGTGCACCCGTGTTGTGCAATGCCCACGGAGGACAGAAGAGGCTGTCAGAGCCCCTGGAACTGGAGTTATGGACAGTTGTTAGCTGCCACGTGGGTGCTGGGATTCGAACCTGGGTCTTCTGCAAGAACAGCCAGTGTTCTTAACCACTGTGCAATCTCTCCAGCCCCAATATCTCTATATTCTTAAAACTTCATGTGAATCTCAAATTAATCTCAATAAATCGGGTGTGGTGGCACACGCCTTTAATCCCAGCACTTGGGAGGCAGAGGCAGGTGGATCTATGTGAGTTCAAGGCCAGCCTGGTCTACACAGTGAGTTCCAGGACAGTTGGGGCTACCCTGTCAAAAAGACCAAAAAAAATTAATCTCAATTTAAAAATTAATTATAAAAATCCATAGGGACTTTCACAGAAACATTTTAGATGTTTCTTGCCAAGCATTATTTGACTAAGGTTATTAAATCTCCTAGGGGTTATTTCCTATGCAAAGCAATAAGAATGTGAATGGAGATCAGATGCATCATGCATTGAAAAAAATTTAAATACTGTCACCACATTGCCTTAAGACATGAAAAGCAAAACTGTTTTCTACCAAAAAGACAAATTTGTCATCCCAGTTAAAAGTCAGGCAATACTATTTTTTTAGGATATAGAAATATGTTTGTTTTACTTTAAAAGTCAGTTCTTTTTCTTTCTCTCTTTTTTGTGATGTTGGACTTGAACCCAGGGTCTTGCTTAAGCTATGCAAGCACTCTAACCACACCCATTTTCTCAGTTACAATCTTTGAATCTAAACAGTTCTTCATGGAAACTTTTCATGATGGATTGTTCACTTATTTATACATTTCTCTCATATAACCACTGTTTGGCAAAGAATAGCTTTAACTACTGGAGAGTCTAACTTTGTTAACAATACTTATTTCTCACAAACATGGATTTGCTAAAAACAATACCTCCTTACCATCTGTTTCTAACTACTTTCGTAGTTTCATCATCAATGTTCAGTGTAGAAATGTAAGCATAAAGAATGCCATAGACAGGATCAGTTTTTCCTTCATTTTTCAAAGCCTTTAGTTTCAATTTTTCCACTGTATAGACATTAACTATTGTATTTACTAAAAATAAAAACAAACATTACAGTTCTATACATGTTACAAAGACTTACAAAGAATTATATCAAAATAGAAAAGCTATGAAGTTTAAGTAAGAACATTTTAGTGGCTAAAGCAACAAAAATATATTTACTATGTTAAACTGATTATATAAAACCACAAGATAAAAAGGAAAAAGAATGATAAATCAGTCATCATTAAATGAATCATTTTTTTTTGTCTTTTTGAGACAGGGTCTCTCTGTAGCCCCAGCTGTCCTGGAACTCACTATGTAGACCAGGCTGGACTTGAACTCACAAAGATCCGCCTGCCTCTATCTCCCAAGTGCTGGAATTAAAGGCGTGTGCTACCACGCCTGGCTTTAAATGAAGAATTTATGATAAGCAAATGATAGCAGTAAAAAGGTACAAAGACAAGCCTCAGAGTGGGGCATGTATTACATAATTTATTGGTGGGTGGGGCACACACTTGCCACAGTGCACGTGTGGAGGTTAAAAGACAATTTGTAGGAATTGAGTCTCTTCTTCCATCTTGTGGTACCTGGGGATAAAACTCAGGTCATCAGGCTTGGCAGCAGGTACCTTTACCCACTGAGCCACCTCACCGGCCCTAAATTAGCTATTTATTTATTTGTTTGTAATATGTATGGATGTTTTGCCTGAATGTATGTTTAAGTACATAACATGCATGCAATGCCTGCAGAGACCAGAAGAGGGCGGTGGATCCATTGCAACTGGCGTTATGGACCATTGTTGGCTGCCATATGGGTGGCTGGGAACCAAGTCTGGGTCCTCTGCAAGAGCAGACAGTGCTCTAAACCACTGAGCCATCTTTCCAGCCCCTAAATTAGCTTTTAAAATTTGGAAATATAGGGCTGGAGAGATGGCTCAGCGGTTAAGAACAATGGCTGTTCTTGCAGAAGACCCGGGTTCAAATCCCAGCACACACACGGCAGCTAACAATTGTCCATAACTCCAGTTCCAGGGGTTCTGACAGCCTCTTCTGTCCTCCAAGGGCATGGCACAACACAGGTGCACTTAACCTACATGCAGGCAATACACACATACACATAGAATAAAATAATTTTTTTTTTTGGTCTTTTTGAGACAGGGTCTCCCTGTAGCCCCAGCTGGCCTGGAACTCACTCTGTAGTCCAGGCTGGCCTTGAACTCACAGAGATCCGCCTGCCTCTGCCTTCCGAGTTCTGGAATTAAAGGCATGTGCCACCATGCCCAGCAATAAAATATTTTTTAAAATGTGGAAATATAGCCAGGTATGATGGTGCATGCCTTTAATCACAACACTCAGGAAGCAGATACAGGTGGATCTCTCTGTGAGGCCAGTATAGTCTACATACCGAGTTACAGGCCAGCCAGGGCCTGCATATATATATAGCGAGATCCTGTCTCAACCACCTCCCTCCAAAAAGTGGAAATAACAGCAGTTATTGAGTAAGAATATGGTATTTTTTAGTTTTAGTATGTCAAATCAAAACTTTGTGGGCCCAGTAATCTTTTTAAAAACTCAAAAAAGGTCAAGGCCAACCTGGTCTACTAGTGAGTTCCAGGACAGGTGAGGCTACAGGGAGACCCTGTCTCAAAAAGACTAAAAAAAAAGCTTCAAAAAAGGAAATAAGGCTGTAACTCAGTGGCACAGTATTTGCCTAGCATGCATGAGGGCCTGGGTTTGGCCCTTAACACTGAAAAAAACTCTCAGCATGTTTCTCTCTCTTTTTTTTCTCTCTCTCTTTCCTAGACAGTCACTTACGATTTATGGATTCTTTCATATAATTGTCAATTTCATCATCCACATTTGTTTCTTTATTTTCTCTTATGTAATTCAGTAGGATATTAGCTTCTGGTGTCTCTTAAATTGAAAATTCATAATAAGGAAAAAGCAAGTTAATTATCTTTTAAATTACTACAAATAACTGCAAATTATTTTTAATTGTAAAATGTTAAGCCACATAAAAATGTAATCAAACAGATTGTTATTCAGCCATTAACAATACAAGCCCGAATTCAATCAACATTGATTGAATGTATCAATGTTGATGTATACCTCATGTTGCTAGTAAACAACTTTATAAAACTGTAAACTATAAGAGCAACTTTATAATAAACTGTGAGCTACAAAATTCTTAAAATTTAAAAGCATGAATGGATAAAATTATCAGGAAGAATGTATGTGTGACAAAACTTTTTTTGCCAGGTATGGTGGGTGGGGCATGCTTTTAATTCCAGCACTCAGAAGGCAGAGATCCACCTGCCTATGCCTCCAGAGTTCTGGGACTAAAGGCGTGTGCCACCATGCCCAGCTTAAATTTTTTTTAATATTTTATTTATTTATTTATTGTCTTTTTGAGACAGGGTCGTCTCCTTGTAGCCCCAGCTGTCCTGGAACTCACTATGTAGACCAAAAAAAAAATTTTATTTATATTTATTGTCTTTTTGAGACAGGGTCTCCCTGTAACCCCAGCTGACCTGGAACTCATTATGTAGACCAGGCTGACCTCGAACTCACAAAGATCTGCCTGCCTCTGCCTCCCAAGTGCTGGAATCAAAGGCATGTCCCACCACACCCAGCTTTATTTATTATTTTTATTTTATATGTATGAGTGTATTGTCTCATGTATGTAAATGCACCCATGTCATGCAATGCCCAAGGAGGTCAGAAGAGGGCATCAGATTCCCCTCAAACTGGAGTCACAGTTGTTAGCTGCCATGTGGATGTGGGAATCGAACTTGGGTCCTCTGCAAGAGCAGTCAATGCTCTTAACCACTGAGCCATCTCTCTAGCCCTCCATTTACTTTTAAATTTTATTTATTTATTTATTTATTTATTTAATGTTTAGCCCGCTTGTGTGTAAGCATACCCCGTGAATGCAATGCTGGTGCAGGCCAGAAGAGGGCATCAGATCCCCTGGACCTGGAGTTACGGGTGGTTTTTAGCAGCCACAGGCACACTGTTATTATTTTTATTTTATGTGTATGAGTGTGTTGCTGAATGTGTGTAAGTGCACCTGTGTCGTCAGTGCCCTGGGAGGTCAAAAGAGGGCCTTGGATCCCCTGGAACTAGAGTTATGAATGACTGTTACCTGCCAGTAGGTGCTGGGGATCAAACCTGGGTCCTCTGTAACAGCAGCCATTGCTCTTAACCTCTGAGCCATCTCTCCTGTCCCTTAATGTTATTTTATTTATTTATTTCTTTGGTCTTTTTGAGACAGGATCTCCCTGTAGCCCCAGCTGTCCTGGAACTCACTATGTAGACCAGGCTGACCTTGAACTCACAGAGATCCACCTGCCTCTGCCTCCTCAGTGCTGGGATTAAAGGCATGCACCACCACACCCGGCCTCCTTAATGTTATTTTAAAGCTTTGCTCTTCAAATTGCAATATGAATTGTCTCAGGAATAGTTGAGTGGTGTATCAGAAGACAAGAATATGATTTTTGAAAGAGTTTTCACAAGATCCTAATACCCTTCTGGGCCCAAAATCCCAGCGTCCAACACAATTGTTTTTAATTGTCCTAGCCCACTTAAACATTCCACTATTTGTCCTGAAAATGTTTAGACTCTCTTAACTCTCTTCAGCAGCGTTAGGAGTTTCTTCCTCCTGCTCCTATTATATACATCTTATCACCATTCTTTTTTAGGATAAGGGTAAATTCCTCATGAGCACGGACTGTGCCTTTTCATTATTTTATTTCCAGTATCCAACATAGTGACTAACTTACACCCATTTGACCTTCTACTATCTCCTGTTTTGTTCCAGAAAGAATTGAATTTATCTATATAACTGGCATATAAAAGACATTCAGTGAGTATTTATAAATTGATAGACTAATGAATTTTTTTTCAAAAATATTTTATTTATTATGTTTATGTGTATTGCCTCCATGTAGGTAAGTGCACCCGTGTCATGCAATGCCTGGGAGGACAGAGAGGCTGTCAGATCCCCTGGAACTGGAGTTACAGATAGTTGTTAGCTGCCATGTGGGTGCTGGGATTTGAACCTGGGTCTTCTGCAAGAACGGCTAATGTTCTTAACCTCTGAGCCATCTCTCCAGCCCTGAATGAATGTTTTTTTAAAACACTGATGCTGCTCAACGTTCAGGGAAGCAGGCTATAGCAATTCAATCAATGAACACCTCCTGACAAGAGTGTAACTCAGATTGTCTGTGGAGAGGGCAGAATTCCCACTCTAATGAACACTTTCAAGGTAGAGGAAATGTAAAAAAAATGTAACATCCTAGAATAAATACCTAAGCCATTTAGAGGTTTTTCATTTTTACAAGGTAAGTGTTGTCCAGGAAATTAGAAACAAGTTTCTGATTTAAATAAGTACTTAAGTTTGTTTGTTTTTAAGCATATGAGTGTTTTGCCTGCATGTAAGTGTATCCATATCATTCAATACCAGCAGAAGCCAGAAAAGGGCATGAGAGCCCCTTAACTGGAGTTATGGATGGTTGTTAGCTGCCATATGAGTGCTGGGAAACTGAACCTAGGTCTACTATAAGAGCAACTATTGCTCTCAAGCACTGAGCCATCTCTCCAGTCCTACGCATCCAAATTTAAACACCTTTATAAATAACTCTCTGCTAAATTTGTGTCCTTAACAAAATAAATTCAAGAGCTCTGTTGTCTAACATAGCAACTATAGCTAATAATACTACAGTACAATGTTGTGTTTTGTGGTTGTTTTGAGACAGGGTCTCCCTGTAGCTCCAGCTGGCCACGTAGACCAGGACTCTCAAGTGCAGATTAACGGCAAGTATCACCACCCCTAGCTTCATTAAAAAAAAAAAAAGGATTTTTAATTATATACATATGTGGTGGGGGGAAGTTATATGCACATAGGTACAGGTGCCCATGAAGGCCAGAAGAGGGTGTCAAATTCTCCAAAGTAAGAGTTACAGGTGGTTGCCAGCTGCTCAATGTGTATGTACTCTTAGCTGCTGAGCCCCTGTTGGAGACCTCTGTTATGCAAAGTGGAAGTCCCTTCACACCGGACAGCTCATGCAGCTCGGGATTAATGTGCTGCGGGCTCCTTTCATAGCAGGGTGTCTTCCTGGCATCTTCCCTGTCTCTCCTTAATTCTCCAAAGTAAGAGTTACAGGTGGTTGCCAGCTGCTCAATGTGTATGTACTCTTAGCTGCTGAGCCCCTGTTGGAGACCTCTGTTATGCAAAGTGGAAGTCCCTTCACACCGGACAGCTCATGCAGCTCGGGATTAATGTGCTGCGGGCTCCTTTCATAGCAGGGTGTCTTCCTGGCATCTTCCCTGTCTCTCCTTTTGAAGTGGCCGCCACAAATGCCCACCAGCAATCTAGCAGTGTGTCAGAAATCCACTTCCACATGTAAATAGAATGTCTCACAAAGCATCTAACAGCCAAAGCTTTTACCACTACCCCCATGGTATAAAATATCCTAGCCTTCTCTTAATAGTGGGAGATTGGGTCAGAGACTGGGTCCCAGAGTTTGGGTCCCAGAGAGAATAAAGCTGTAAGCACAGACTGAGCCGAGCCTTGAGTCTTGTGTACCGGCGACCTAATCCCCCTGGAGGGCAGCACTCTCCGTTACCGACCCACGGACACACTAGCTTTCACCGGCTCCGTACTCCTTCCCTGCGTGGTTCAGTGGCCAGGAGCCTCGCATCCTGAGGAAGAGTACACGGGTGGAATAGAGATGGGATTCTGGCTGGACAATGCTCCAGTAGCAGAGTAAGCTCTCAGCATCAGAGAAGTTGCGGCAGCCACCAGCTGTCGCCAGCACCAGAGACGCGGACCTGAAGCAGCCGGTGGGAAAAGTCTGTGGACCCGCCTTGCTGCTCCCGGAGCCGCTGCTTCCCAGAGAAGTCTGCGGATCCACAGAGAGTGAGCACACCCCATGCCTGGGAGCCCAGCGCAGTCCCCCCATAAGCCCCTGTGCTGCATTTTTGAAAAGTGCTAAGATTATGTTTCACCATAAAAGGTAATTATGTTATAGTTTGGTTATATAAGGTTCATGTGTAGGAGGTTTGGTCCTAGCTGGTGATATTCTTGAGAGATGATTAGATCATAAGAACCCTGATTCTACTGATGAATTCATAGCTCAACGGTCTACTAGGAGGTAGGGCCTATTTAGAGGAATCACTGAAGGGAGGGTGTCTTCCCAACTACCTTTCTGCTTCTCAGCCACTATGAAGTAAACAGCTTTTTAAAAATTGAAGGTAGCCAGGCATGGTGGTACATGCCTTTAGTCCCAGCACCTAGGAGGCAGAGGCAGGCAGATCTCTGTGAGTTCAAAGCCAGCCTGGTCTACATAGTGAGTTCAAGGCCAGCTGGGGCCACAAGGAGACCCTGTGTCTCAAAAAAAGACCCCCCAAAAATTGAAGGTATGGGCTGGAAAGATGACTCAGAGGTTAAGAGGACTGGTTGTTCTTGCAGAGGACCCAGGTTTAATTCCCAGCACCCACATGATAGAGAACAACCATCTTAACTCCAGTTCCAGGGGAAATCCAACACCCTCTTCTGACCTCCACAGGTGTACAGGTGCACCTACATACATTCAGGCAATACACTCATATACATAAAATAAAAATTTAAAAATCCATGCTGCATTTTCACTCTTAAATACATTGTAAATATTGGCATATGTTCATAGTCATTTCCAACAGAATAACAAACGAAAAGTTTTTTACCTGGATTAGTTGTGATAATGGTTTTTGAGATTACTGTTGCTGTCATGCAGTTCTGAAATTTGTTAAAATTTATTCTCACATCTGAGGCAAATATTACTGTTTTGGGAAAAAGTCATTTTAAAAATTAATACATGGGAGATAAAAATGACAAATAATATCAACACAATCATAGAATCATAATACCTGTTTCTTGTGGTATCCATCTCTGTGCAAGTAGAATGGACTCATTATCCCAACTGCATTTGTTTAAGAAGTGATAAAAAGTGAATACATTAAAAAAATCTGATAGTGACACATTATTTATAGCCCCACCCCCCAAGAACCTGCTAAACAGAAAAAAGCCTGTCTTAATGGCTGGGGTTAGAAATTTCCAGGTAGCCAAAGACAGAAGTTAAAATGGCATAATTTAAAAATTTTTTATTTATTATTATTGTGTGTATGCTGCTTGTGTGGGTGTGTGGGTGTGTGTGCGTGCGCGCACACACATACCACAGCATATATGTGAAGGTCGGAGTCAGTTCTCTCCTTTCACCTTTATGTGGGTTCTGGGATCAAACTCAGGTTTTGAGACTTGCATGACAAATGCCTTTACCTCCTGAGCCATCCCTACCAATCTAAGACAGCATACTCAACATCAATGTGATAAATTGTTAGCACATATTCATATTTTTCTTTTTTTTTCCTTTGGTCTTTTTGGGGCAGGGTTTCCCTGTAGCCACAGGTGGCCTGGAACTCAATATGTAGACCAGGCTGGCCTTAAACTCACAGAGATCCACCTGCCTCTGCCTCTCGACTACTGAAACTAAAGGCATGTGCCATCACACCTGGTGCTGTACCCATTTTTTATTTACCCAGTATTTGGCCACTCAAGCCTTGTTAGAACTGAACAGCTCAAAGTCTAAAAATTTTAAAGTTCCAACCATTAATGCCGGGCATGGTAGCTCACGCCTTTAATCCCAGCACTTGGGAGACAGAGGCAGGTAGATCTTTGTGAGTTGGAGGCCAGCCTGGTCTACACAGTGACACAGTGAGTTCTAGGCCAGCTGGGGCTACAAGGAGACCCTGTCTCAAAAAGCAAAAAAAAAGTTCCAGCCATTACAGTTGGTTCTCCCAAACAGATATATAGCTCAGGGGACTTGATGGGAAGAAGGCACTTTTAGGCTGTTTCCTTGGTACTCAGGCATTGGGAGTCATAACCTGCAGGGCTTTTCACCAGGGTACCAAAGAATGTCAAAATGTTTGGCTTGCTCAGTGGACCCCAATAAACCACAATTAGTGACGAAACAAAACAATAAAACTTTTCACAGGGCAGTCCCTCTAACCAATTTTATTGCCATCTAAGACGGTATATAAAACACCTCAGCCTTCAAAAGAGTTTATTTTTCAGATGTTGCTTATCTCCTGTCATTACACCTCTCTTGATATGAAATCTTTTTTTGATAAAATGAAAAGTGTTCTGTCTCAGTAATAAGAGCAGATGTCCTAGTAACAGATATGGGAAGTTACCATGTCATTGTGAAAGAAGACTCTATTTCATCAAAGAGTTTAACTTCACACCTCTGGCCTTTTCTTCGATCTGAAGTTGTGAAGTGTTTTGGCTCCCCAACCTTAGAAATTGAAGGAAATTATTATTCCTCTTCTATAAATGTGGAGGTACTTAAATATTTGCTGATATAAAAATCAAATATTTCCTTTTAAGCATGAAATTTGTAGTATTAACAAGAACCACAAATACATATCTGAAGATTTGAATGTACTTTCTGCCTACACTAGGTGTATTTAGCTAAACTTGTAAATTATGCACACTCTGAAGAATGACACAGACATATGTGCTCAAAAAGGAAACAAGAGTCTTGTTTGTCAAGATACCACAATAGCTGGGTATGGTAGCAAACCACCATTACTTGGAAAGGTAAGGCAGGAGTATTGCTGTGAGTTCAACGTCAGCCTGGGCTATTTAAATAATAAGACTTTGTCTCAAAAAAATAAAAGTAGCCAGGCACGACGGCACACACCTTTAATTCCAGCACTCAGGAGGTGGAGGTAGGTGGGCCTCTGAGTTCTAGGCCAGGTAGGACTACCCAGTGAGAGCCTGTTTCAAAAATATTAATAATACTATAAATAAATAAATAAATAAATAAATAAATAAATAAATAAATGCCAGGACAAATGCTCCAAGACAGGCCCCCTTGTGGCATAAATGTCTTTCCATGGCTTAGCACAGAGCCTGGCATGGAGGTGTAGAGGTGCTTTACTTTATGAAGGTTTATAGGTTTTTTTTGGGGGGGAGGGTTTGGTGGTGGTAGGGATGGGGATTGAACCAGGCCTTTACACATAACTGGAAGAGTTTTACCATGATGCCACACCCCCAACCAGTTTACTTTTTAAAAAATATTTATTATTGCTGGACGTGGTGGCGCATGCCTTTAATCCCAGCACTTGGGAGGCAGAGGCAGGCAGATCTTTGTGAGTTCAAGGCCAGCCTGGTCTACATAGTGAGTTCCAGGACAGCTGGGGCTACAGGGAGACCCTGTCTCAAAAAGACAAAAAAAATATTATTTTAATCTTATTTTATATGTATGAGTGTATTGCCTGCATTTATACAAGTGCATTCATGTCATACAATGCCCTCAGAGGTTGGAAGAGGGCATCGGATCCCCTGGAATTGGAGTTAGGATGGTTGTTAGCTGCCATGTGGGTGCTGGAAACTGAACTCAGGTTGTCTTGCAAGAGCAGCCAATGCTCTTAACTGCTGAGCCATCTCTCTAACCCCAATAAGTTTACTTTTGAAGTCCACCTCTAAACCTTTGTGCAGTGCCTTTGTCTGTTAAACTATTAAGTTCAGCTTGTCAAAATAACTGAGACAGATGCTGAGGTAACAGAAGGTGACATGTTCCTGATTCCCAGTGAATACTGTGTCCTCCACCAGCACCATGCCATACCAGCCCCCACTGCAGTCGAGAGGGTCTTCAGCCCTCTTCCATCTCTGAGCCACTCTGAGAACACATGCACACAAGTGATTCCTTGACTTGTTCAAAGAACATCTTGTCCATTCACATCAATAAAGCTTATCCTTTCTATTTATGTCTTTAACTCAATTTAGATAGGTCTCATACCTAATGGATCATTTATATGCACAGTAGTGTATGCCACAGTTAGCAATCAAGTATGATTTTTCTCTGGATCATTTATATGCACAGTAGTGTATGCCACAGTTAGCAATCAAGTATGATTTTATTTTGCTAGGGATTCACAGACAAAATGCTAATTTCCTTTTCATGAGAAACTTTATTATTTTTTAATTCCTCTTAATACCAAGGTAAAGAAGTTGCTAGTTGGTACTGTTGACTGCCTCATTCCAAACACAAATCAGGTGACTAGAGTATCCTGCCAAATTACTGCAGCTCTGCCAGTGCTTCAATTTACTGACTTACCGATCTCACAGCTGCAAGCACATTAATAATCCTCCCATCAAGACTGTGTCCATTTGCAACAATGTCAGCCAATGAGTAATAATCTCGAGATTCTTTAACAGGCAAGTGCATCAAAGAAAGTAACTTGGTATCCACTTCATAACTGGAGCAAACTTTTACCATTGAATGATTCTCACTGAGCAATAGTTTAAAGTTACTAAATCACCAAAAGACAAAATAGTTAAATGATTGTTAATAGAAAACCACTTACATACATGCAGGCAATACACTCATACACATAAAAATAAATAAAAACTGAAAAAAATGTATCTCTATCTTGGTCTTTAGTTCTTCAATGAAATAATGTTCTTGCAATTAAGAACATGTGTTGAGAATTAATTAATGCGTCCCTGAGTTCTAATCATGGTTGTAGGACCTTTCCCAAGATTTGATGTTATATCATGTTAAACAGGATTATAAAAGTACTCTAAAACTTTAGGAGATTCTAAAAACCCAAGGTCTCATTGTTTCTCTTATGACCCTGGTTGCTAAGTGCCTAAGGTCAAGAACTGTGTTTTGCTTACTTCTGCAGCACTGTATGTGAATAGATGGAGAATTATTATAGTGTTTTTAAATTGAGGTTCTCTCTTCCCTGTACCCAATCTTCCCATCTTGACAAAGCCTCCTTCACAGCACTCTAGTCCAGCCTTCCTCCTTCTTGCTTTGCCTTAGTTATTCACAGTATTACTTCTCTTCCAAAACATTGCCTTGGTCTCCTGTCTCAGCTTCCTCTATAATTCAGTCTTCACAATGCAGTCCAGATGATCTTCCTAAACCACAGTATGGAATATTATTTCCCAACTCAAAGATTTTTCTATGTCTACTCACTGCTGAGAAATGAATATTGTGTGAGATCTGTCCCTGCTTCTCCCTTCATTCCTCTCCTGGTGGCACACAGCACTAGCCCTGTATTCCAGCCATGTCAGATTATTAGGGTATAAAACAGGCAAAAATTGTTAAATGTCAGCAATTTCTTGTGGTTCAACCTAAAAATTAGCTAATCTAGAAAATGCCAGGTAGTTTCACAGTCATTGCATCTGCCAAAGTCCCTCCCCCTTCCCATAAAGATTTACTAAGAATCAATTATGTGCCAGACTCTAATCTAGGCATGGGGAAACAGTGTGAAGAAGACCTTTAATCTCATGAGTTTGCATATGTGAAATCATCTCAGGATGTGATCTGGATTATAATACTGAGAAGGGAGAAAAGTCCTTGTTGGTGACTGGAAGGGTTACTACAGAGATGGGAAGGACAAATGAGCTGAGCAAGCTGAGACATGATGACCAAAAGAAGGAGATACTGAAGCATACAAAAGAATGTTCACTGCAGAGAGACTAGAAGGGAAGAGTTCTTAGTGCAGAATGAGTCCAGGTGTTCATGAAAAAGAAAGGTGCTCCTTTTCTGTGGCTGCAAAGAGACAAGTCTGAAAGTCTGATATGAGTGAAGACTGGAGGAACAGGCAGAAGGATGGTGATTCATGTCCAAGCAACAGCCTGCTGTGCTCAGCTAGAGCCCTTTATAGACTAGCAGAGTCAACTGCTATAGAATTGATCTTGAATAGAACCAGTTAGTCCCCTCCCCTGCTCCCACTTTGGGAGGACTGGTAAGGGAAGGACTACAGCCAGTGGCTAACGCAGGGCATAGCCCTGCCGCTCTCTTCAGAGTCCTGTTCAAAGGGGCCAGTCACACTCCAGAGCTTTCTCCTGAGCTCCAGCTTCAGCTTCTCCCCTGCCCCACCCACCCTTGCAGTGATCTCCTGAGAGCTCTCCCTCAATAAGCCACTTGCAAATTATTCTTTTCTCAAGTTCTGCTTCCAGGGAACCTGGCCTAACATGATTAAGGAGTATGAGTAGAATGAAACCCTGACACAAAATTATATGTGTGTATGAGTGTGCGTGTGTGTGTATACAATTATATTCCAGGATTTATATTTCTTCTGTTTAGTTTTAATGTAACTGGACTCAAGTTTTTGCAAATCTAAGCATTTGACTCAAAGTACATTTAGTCCTCCACCTCTGCAATTTGGCATCCATAGATTCATACAAGCATGGGTCAAAACATTTCATAAAAAATAACAATATAGGGGCTGGAGAGATGGCTCAGCGGTTAAGAACACTGGTTGTTCTTGCAGAAGACCCAGGTTCGAATCCCAGCATCCACATGGCAGCTAACAACTGTCCGTAACAGTCCCAGGGGATCTGACAGCCTCTTCTGACCTCCTCGGGCATTGCACAAAAATTGCATGACACAGGTGCACTTACCTACATGCAAGCAATATACACATACACATAACAATAATAAATAAAATTTTAAAAAAACCAATATAATCTAGGCGTCATATCGAATGCCTTTAATCCCAGCACTTGGGAGGAAGAGGCAGGTGGATCTCTGCCAGCCAGCCTGGTTTACACAGCATGTTCCAGGCCAGCTGGGGCTAGGGGGAGACCCTGTCTCAAAAAAGGACAAAAAAAAAAACAACAATATGCCAGGCGTGGTGGTGCATGCCTTTAATCCCAGAACTCTGGAGGCAGAGGCAAGCAGATCTCTGTGAGTTCAAGGCCAGCCTGGTCTACATAGTGAGTTCCAGGACAGCTGGGGATACAGGGAGACCCTGCCTCAAAAAGAGCCCCCCAAAAAAACCCCCAAAACCAATATAACTAATACAAAAAATAGTATAACTACTCACATAGCACTTACACAGCATTATAGGTAGGGATTATTTCAAATATAGGGGAATGTATTTAAGCTACATACAAATATTACACCATTTTATACAAGAGACGAGTACCCTTAAACTTTGGTGGCCTCAGATATGATTGATACGATTATCCATAGATACCAAAGGAAAATTACTAAAAACAAAGCTATTTACACATGTCACTCTATTAAATATCTTATAAATTATCTCATTTATCTAAAAGATAAATATTGTAATAGAGAATTCAACTCCTATTTTTCAAATTGAAGCAGAGAAACTTTAGTAAGCGCACTGCTAATCTGATATAAAATTATTAATATGACCATTCTAGCATAAAGATTGTTGGTCTTCGGGCTGGAGAGATGGCTCAGGGGTTAAGAGCACTGACTGTTCCTACAGAGGACCTGGATTCAAACTCCAGCAACCACATGGAAGCTAACAACCATCTGTACAGTTCCAGGGGATCCAACGCCCTCTTCTAACTTCTGTGGGCACTGCACAACATGGGTGCACTTACATACATCCACAAAATAATAAATAAATAAATAAAATTTAAAAAACAATAAATAAAAAAATAAAAAGATTGTTGGTCTTGGGGCCGGACAGATATTTACCTAGGAGTTGCAGGACTAAACTTTTCTTCTCTCTCTATTTCCTTTCTTTGGATCAGAGGATTTTCAATTCTCACTAAAACAAAGGGCAAAGTATGGTGGCATCACAAACCCATCAGAAGTTTCATCAAAACTAAGTATGCATAGCAATGACCCTCACACTGTTGGGATCCATCTTCTACAGGCATCTTCTCATGTCACTGTGAGAAATGGAATCCTGAAATGCAGCCATCAGGTTGGCCTCACATATCATTTCCAGGGCTTTGTATTTAAGTCTCAACTGGTGACCCATACTAATATTTTATTGATTTAGTTGCATTCAACATTTGACTTGATTACAACATGCCCTTCAATAAAACAAATATTTACTTGACCTTCATTCCACATCTAACTTTACAAACAATTCCTTATCTCATTTATCCTCACAACCAGGAACTATAACATTTTCAAAATATTTTATTTAATCTTTTTATTTTATGTGTATGAGTATATTGCCTCCATGTAAGAGCACCTGTGTTGTGCAGTGCTCACAGAGGTCAGAAGAGGGCATCGGATCCCCTGCAACTGTAGTTACGAATGGTTCTTAGCCACCATGTGGGTGCTGGGAATCAAACCCGGGTTCTCTGCAAGAGCAGTCAGTGCTCTCAATAGAATCTCCAGCCCCATATAACAAATTTTAATACTGAAGTTTCTCTCTCTAAACAGTGAATGTTCTGGAGTTCACTCACAGAATGTTTGTAACTGGACTAGGCTCAATGAAGTTTGCAAAGTTTTCTGTCTTCATAGTTTACATGTTCAATGACCTTATTATTAAATTAAGGACAGACTATCCACATCCCTAAAGCATACATGGTCCACATGGTTATGTACATAGGGTTAAGCCCTGCATAATTAATGTGAGTAAGTGGCTGTTTGGTACCACAGTATTGGAAAAGAATAGTTTAATTACTTGTATTACTCTTTCCTTCCTCTTTTTCTGTCATAAAGAAAAACTGGTATGCATGTTCTTTTGTTTTTTGTCTAGGCTAGAGCTGTTATCTATTGATTGGCAGAGTTCTATACTTTATACTAGTCATCCTTCCTTACTTAGCATTCACAAAAATCTAATAGTGTTATTTCATAAGTGAGATCCAACAAAATTAAGAAATGTTCCTGACCAGGCATGGTGGCACATGCCTTTAATCCCAGCACTTGGGAGGCAGAGGCAGGAGGATTTCTGTGAGTTTGAGGCCAGCCTAGTCTACATAGAGTGTTCCAGGCCAGCTGGGGCTACAAGGAGACCCTGTCTCAAAAAGACAAAAAGAAAAGAAATATTCCCAAAACCATAGTATAAATAACTATTGGAACTGTGATTTGAAACCAGACCTGTTTTCAAAATATAAACTATATTTTGTTAAAAACAGAAAAACTATATTTTGTTGAGACTTCCCCATTACCCAATGGCAGCTAACAATCATTCTTAATTCTAGTTCAAAGGGATCCAATGCCCTCTTCTGGTCTCCCCAGGCATTGCATGCCAGGGGTGCACTTAAACATGCAGGCACAACATATACGTAAAAAATTAAAAAATTTTTTTTTGTTTTTTTGAGACAGGGTCTCCCCATAGCCCCAGCTGCCCTGTATACCAGGCTGGCCTCAATCTCACATGCCTGTCTCAGCCTCCCAAACTGGGACTAAAAAAATGCACCACCACACCTAGTAGTAGTACTTGGCTGTAATCCCAGCACTTGGGAGACTGAGACAGGAGGATCGCCACTGGTTGGAGGTCAGCCTAAATTACAGAGTGAGACCTTGTCTTAAAAAACACAGCCAGGTGTGGTGGCTTTTAACCCCAGCACTCGGGAGGCAGAGGCAGGCGGATCTTTGTGAGTTCAAGGCCAGCCTGGTCTACATAGGGAGTTCAGGTCAGCTGGGACTACAGGGAGACCCTGTCTCAAAAAAATAAAAAAATAAAAAATAAAAAATAAAAAACCATGCCAGGCGTGGTGGAGCATACCTTTAATCCCAGCACTCAGAAGGCAGAGGCAGGTGGATCTCTGTGAGTTCAAGGCCAGCCTGGTCTACATAGTGAGTTCCAGGACAGCTGGGGCTAGTGGGAGATCTTGTCTCAAAAAGAAAAAGACCAAAAAAACCACACAAACAGCCAGGCACGCTAGCACACGCCTTTAATCCCAGCATTCAGGAAGCAGAAGCAGGCAGATCTCCATGAGTTCAAGGCTAGTGTGGTCTACCTATTGAGTTCCAGGCCAGCTGGGGCTAGAGGGAGACCCTGCCTCAAAGAGAAAAAAAAAATCAAACAAACAAAAATCAGTACTAACTTACCACACTCGCCAACTCTAAAGCTGTCAGACAGTGATCTGATGTAATCTTCACTGCCCCAGGAAGATACATTCACAAAATGGTTTGGTGAATCACGAATGGTGAAATTAAAAGTGTATCTTTCTGATCCAATATCTAAGGAAAAACCAAGGTTTATATTTCAATGACTTTAGAAATGAATTTGAAATGAAAATGAATTTGAAAATTACTTTAGAAAAAATGTTTATTTAGCTGGGCATGGTAGCCAGCCTGGTCTATACAGTGAGTTCCAGGTCAGCTGGGGCTACAGGGAGACCCTGTCTCAAAAAGACCAAAAAAAATATTATTTCACAAAATAATAAATTGTTGATATTATGAAAATAAAAATACATAAACACATGGTAGAAATTGTAATTTTCTATGTATATTCTTTTTGTTGTTGTTAGGTTTTTGTTTTGGGTCTTTCCAGACTAGGTCTTCCTGTAGCCCTAGAACTTGCTATGTAGACCAGGCTGGCCTTGAACTCACAGAGATCCTCCTGCCTCTGCTAGGATTAAAGGTGTGTGATACCACATCACACATTAGTTTTGTGGTTTTGAGACTGGGTAGAGCAGGTGGGCCTTGAATTTCTAGTGAGCTTCCCAAATTACTAAATTCCAAGTAAGTACCAGTAGTCCTTCTGAAAGGTGCATTCTACAATACTTCATACTTTCATGAATTTCAAAGTAAAGTGGTAATAAGAAGCCAAGGTAGCCAGATCTCATAATGGCCCATTTTTGCCCTTCCTCAGTTAACTGTATTCAGAGGAAAGTGACATGCAGACCTGAACTTTCTAGATGTTAGCTTAAATTCTGTCTGGGGCTGGAGAGATGGCTCAGCAGTTAAGAACACTGGCTGTTCTTGCAGAAGATGCAGGTTCGAATCCCAGCACCCACATGGCAGATAACAACTGTCCATAACTCCAGTTCCAGGGGATCCGACAGCCTCTTCTGTCCTCCACAAGCATTGCAAGACTTGGGTGCACTTACCTACATGCAGGCAATACACACATACACATAAAATAAAAATAATAAAATATGTATTTTTAAAAATTCTCTGTCTCGGAGGGTGGGTTCAGATCTCCATCAGGGTAGCGGCTCAGAGCTCAGCAGACCGCCAGAGTGCTGGGTTCTGGCCTCCCTCTGGCCGTCAACTACCAGAGGGCCTGAGAACCCAGGGGTCAGCCTGACAGCCCCCAGATCCTGCCTCCATGTGGTGGTCCTTTTAATAAGATGAGGCTACAAAGCAGTCCCTTCTGCATGAAATAACTACCATGACTTCGGTTGAGCCTGATCGCTAAACATAGTCACAATTGGGCTTCTTGACGGTTGTGCTCATTCATTAAAGGAGTGCCAAGCAGAGTCACTGGACCCTCACCTGAGTATCCAGCCACTCTTCCCACTCTACGAGTCCAGCCTTGGAAGACAAAAGAAAAATGAGGGAAAACCCAATAGAGGGATGCTTTTGGAAGCCCTTGTCAAGAAACTCCAATGGACTCTCCTATGAACATTTGAAAATTGCCCTGTTCTGACTTTTTTCTAGTTCTGTCTAGAACTTGTAATGCCAATTACTCTTGTCTTTACTTCTTTACATCTCCTAGTCATGATTCAATAACTTTCTTTTCCCCTGAGAGACAAGAGTTATTTGGGAGTCTTTTAGATAGACCCACTGAAGGAGTACTCCAACTGCCTCACCCTGCGCCCCTGTACAGCATGGAAGAAGCCAGCAGTCTGCATCCCTATTCCCTATTGGCAATTTGGGTAACCCCTTCAGACAATGGCATGATAAGAATAGGAGGTAGGAACTGGCTAGGCAGTTAGGGTAAAAAGACCCCAAAGAAATGTAGCCAGTTTCTTGGCTAAAAGTCAAAATGCCCTTGGGCCTGTTAGCAACATACTCTGTTCCAAAGGTCAAAAACGTCAAAAGTATTGGGGAGCTTGTATCGAATCCTTAAAAGATTTTAGGGTTACTTCTTCAGAGGGAGGAATTTTGGAGGGGAGGGAGTGGGCATGGATTTGATCAAAATACCTTTTATGCATGTAGGAAATTCTCAATAAAGTTTTTGTAAATTTTTTAAAAATTCTGTCTCTTACTTATTATAGTTCCAAAAACCTAATAGGGCCAGGTAAGGTGGTGCATGCCTTTAATCCCAGCACTTGGTGGGAGGCAGAGGCAGGCAGATCTCTGTGAATTCCAGGCCCAACCGGTCTACATATCAAATTCCAGGCTAGTCAGGGCTATATAGTGAGACCCTGTCTTTAAAAAAGTGCTAACTGGGGTGGAAAGATGGCTCAGCAGTTAAGAACAATGGTGTTCTTGCAGAAGACCCAGGTTCAAATCCCAGAACCCACACGTCAGTTAACAACTGTCAGTAACTCCAGTCCCAGGGGATCCAACAGCCTCTTCTGACACGGGTGCACTTACCTACATGCAGGCAATACACGCATACACATAAAAAAAATAATATTTTTAAAAAGTTTAAAAATGCTAACTAAACTAAATCTAATTAATATCCAAATAGTTATTTCAAAATATTTTTTGTGCAAAATAATTTGATGCTAAATACCCACCACTAGAGGTCAGCAAGTACATTTTTTCCAGAATGTGATTTTTTTTTCTCTCTCTCTATTGTTTTTGGTAATTTAAAAAGTAATACAAGAGGATCCTGGCAGTTCATCTATAATCTTACAGCTAAGAGAGGCTGAGTTCCAGGTCAGCCTGGACTACATGGTAAGAGCTTTTCTTAGGACAATAAAACAATGAGCAAGAGAGATGGCTCAGGTAAAGGCACTGCTGCCAGACAATGCAAGCCTGATGGTCTAAGTTTGATGCCCAGAACCCAGGTAAAGGTGGAAGGAGAGAAACTGATTCCAACAAGTTTTCCTCTGACCTCCCATGTACACTGTGGCACACGTGCCCTTCCATCATATATACATATACACACACAAACATAAATTAAATCTAAAAAAATTTAATAAATAAATGTCAAAAAATTTTAAATCAGCCTTGGAGTATGCCTTTAAGCAGTTTGCAATAATCTGTGGATTTTCTGTCTTTTTTTCTTTATCTTTTTTTGTGATTTTTTTTTTGAGACAGACATTTACATGTAGCCCAGGCTAGCTCACATTCAAGGCAACTCTCTTGAACCTCAGCTTAGTTCTGGGATTAGAGGTATAAATTGCTATACCTGGTTAAAATATGGTCAAGCTTTGTGTGTGTTTGGGTGTGTGGCATATGCAAGCATGTGTGCCCATGAGTATGCATGTAGAGAACAGAGGTCAACATCAGGTATCTTCCTGCATTGCTTACCACCTTTTTTTAGACAGGGTCTCCCCGTAGCCCCACCTGGCCTGGAAATATGTAGACCAGGCTGGCCTTGATCTCACAAAGATTCACCTGCCTCTACCTTCCAGAATGCTAGGATTAAAGTCATGTGTCACCATGCCCTGCATTTCTACCTTACTTTTTGAGACAGGGTCTCTCACTTAAATTGAAACTCATTTACTGGCTATACACTCAGGTCCCCATGCTTGTGCAGCAAGCACTTTACCCACTTAGCCATCTCCTCAGCCTTATAATCAAGCTTTTAAGTGCTAAAATTCTTGCATGGGTCAAGAAACCTATTAAGAACCACTAAAGCTAAAGATAACTTTTTCTCCACCATAAAGATAATTTTTTTTCACTGAATTGTCTGGTCATTGGAGTAAGAACACATATATGGCTGCCATACTTTCTCTTCCTCAGGCCTGCTCTATCATGACATCTCTCTGCTCAAAAACCTTTATCCTCCTTATTTTCTATCTTGAGATTTACAAGTGCATTTGTCACCCATAAGGGTGAATGTGATACTCAACATGGAATTTTTAGTACACATACATAATATTAATCCTAACCCATAGGAATTCATTTAACTCTTAGCTAGTTGTGGTGGCACTCAGAAAGAAGAGGCAGTCAGATCTCTGTGAGCTTGAGGACAGCCTGGTCTACATAGCAAGTTACAGGCCAGCTGGGGTTCCAAGGAAACCGACTCAAAAAGACAAAAAAACGAAAAGAAAAAAACTTAGTTGCAAAACGTCACATAAAGTCATTGAAAATATGGTCTGTCTTCATACACACAGCCTTGAATTGAATATTTGGCCGTATAAATATAGAGGGCCTGGCCATTGCTCTTGTGGGGTTAAACAAGTCTGGAAAATGTAATCAGTTAAATATACTTCATTACAGTCATAAGCCACACTTGATGAAACATGAAGCAAAGAGCTAAATAGAACTCAGCTTTTTCTGTCTGGAAAGCCTTTGACATCTGTTTTCCCAATAACCATACCGATTATTTTCTGAAAAACAAGAGTATAGAAGAGTAATATTAAACATAGATGTAGATGGCAAATTTAATTTCATGGACTTGTTATATTTTACTAGCTCTAACAAACATTTTTACTAAGAAATATTGAAATGCATTTACTCCAGAGAAACATCTAAACAATTTTCATAAATATTCAATTCCACAAGGAATAGTACAAATTAATAAGACATTTAACTGCTATGACAAATACAATCATTTGACACTTAGTATGTTTCTACTTTATTTTCAGTCACTAGATGGAGCACAGTAACTTCCCTATGCTATCAATCCTTACTGAATTTATCCAAAGCACATGTATAATGCAATTTAATTTGCTATGGTCGTCAAAGCTTTCCTTTTCATAGGTCTTTCTAACATAAAACTGCTTAGCTTCTTAATCCAAAAATGTTAGACAATAATATAGACTGTAAAAAACATATGTTGCTGTTAAGAATTTTAAATTCTAATGTCCTGGACCTTAAATCTTAAGAGATATGAACATCCCCTTAAAAGTTTTAATGTTCACCTGAATTAGACACCTGTGTCAAACCTCTGCCTTCCAAGGCTCAGGGATCATTGTGGAAGAGGGGGCAGAAAGATTGTAAGAGCCAGAGGTGATGAATGACCACAGGAAAGAGTTTTCCTGACAGCTGGGCAGTTACTCATATGAACTCACAGCAATGGTGACAGCATGCACAAGATGCATGTGAGCTCAAGATAGACAAAATCACAGCATAGAAGTGGGGAAGTGGGGAAGAAGCCCCAATCCTAGCTGAGGAACTATTGACAAGCAATCACTGATGGGAGAAGGAGAGTCAGTTTGCTTTAAGGGTGTGATGCTAGGTAGGTTAACCAGGTACCAGTGGATAGACCCACCCCGAAGGGCATTTGGGTATACAAATTTGATTTAAGGGGGTCCAAATATGATCAAAATATATTGTATGAAATTTGCAAATTTCCAGACAAAAAGTTTTAATGTTCTCTTTAGTGATTGCTAGACAAAATGTAAATATTAAAAACATCCTTTAAGCAGACAGACAAGCACTGGGGAATGGCTGGGGGTGCCGACAACACAGTAGACAGTAACAGGGATGACAGAGTATATGGGCTCCAGTGTATGCGAGGGGGAGGCTATGGAAGGGTGCCATTTGGGAAGTGGGTATATAGATGAATAAGATTGTGTGGGATGTTCTGTATGATATATGCACAAAAAAATCAACAAATTTTTAAAAAAAGACATATTTGAGGAGGAAGCATAAAAATTTACCTTATGTTGTAGAGTTGATAAACATTACCAGTGAAATCTACCTGATGACTTTATATACATACTCAGGTACTAAGGATCCGAGTGTAACTGACTGTGACTAGTAATAATCAGATATATAGAGATTAAAGACACATGTGCAAACAAAAATAAAACTAAAAATGTCCTTTAAGAAATAGCCAGGTATGGTGCTGCACTCTTTTAATCTCAGCACTCGGGAGGGAGAGGCAGGCAGATCTCTTTGAGTTTGAGGCCAGCCTGATCTTCGTAGTGAGTTCCAGCTAGGGATACACAGTGAGACCCCTGTCTTTAAAAAAAAAAAAAAAGTAGGCTGGGTGTGGTGGCACATGCCTTTAATCCCAGCATTCAGGAGGCAGAGGCAGAAGCAGGTGGATCTCTGTGAGTTCAAGGCCATTCTGGTCTACATAGTGAGTTCCAGGACAGCTGGAGCTACAGGGAGACCCTGTCTCAAAAAGACAAAAAAAAAAAACCAAAAAACAAAACTGAATTGTGGAGACCTTTCTTTTCTCAAATAGGCATTTAAAACTATGTAGACCAGGCTGGCCTTGAACTCACAGAGATCTGCCTGCCCCTGCCTCCCAAGTGCTGGGACTACAGGCGTGCGTCACCATGCCCTGCTAAAAAAATATTTTTTAAATGCCTGACATTTCAAAAATAGCCAGACTGCAAGATGTGGCGGCACATGCCTTTAATCCCAGCACTTGAGAGCCAGAGGCAGGCTCATCTCTCTGAGTTCGAGGCCAGCCTGGTCTACATATTGAGTTCCAGGCCAGCTGGGGCTACAGGGAGACCCTGTCTCAAAAAGACCTACCCCCGCCACCCCACAAAAAAAGACAGCCAGACTTTAAAACTCTCACATTCCAGCTGGGCTGTTGGCTCACCTTATTGCATTTACTCACATTGTTATTTCTTAAATTCCATATACATTCACATCTTACTGAATTTTGTTGGAGAAAGACACTAAGGGACAACCTGAATAAAGCTTTCTAACTGAAAAAACAACTATTAAATAGTTTGTTTCGGAGGCTGGAGAGATGGCTCAGCAGTTAAGAGCACTGACTGCTCTTGCAAAGGATCCAGGTTCAATTCTCAGCACCCACATGGCAGCTATGAACTGTCCTTAACTCCAGTTCCAGGAGAATCCAAAGCTCTCTTCTAACCTCCGAGGCATTGCATGACCAGGGTGCACTCACATACTCAGGCAATACACTCACTCATATACATAAAATTAAAAAAATAGTTTGTTTCAAGGAAAACTACAACAACAATAATTATTTTTGACATCAATAAACTTTGAATTGCAAAATATTAAAGTTATATGTAAGTTTATCCATTTTAAAATTTTATTCAAATTTATTTTATATTGGGCCTGGGTGTGGTGGCACAAGCCTTTAAGCCCAGCACTAGGAAGGCAGAGGCAGGCAGATCTCTGTGAGTTTAAGGCCAGCCTGGTCTACATAGTGAGTTCCAGGCCAGGTGGGACTACAGGGAGACCCTGTCACAAAAAGACCAAAAACAAACAAACAAACAAACAAAAACCTCAGATTTATTTTATGTGTATAGAATGTTTTGTCTACATGTGTGGGAGTGCACCCATGTCATGCAGTGCCTGCTTAGGACAGAAGAGGGCAGAAGAGGGTGTTTGAGCCCCTGGACCTGGAGTTACTGACAGTTGTTAGCTGCCATGTTGGAGTTCAAAATTGAACCCAGGTCCTCTGGAAGAACAGCAACTGTTCTTAACTCCTGAGTCCTCTCCCCAGCCATATATATATATAATTTTTTTTTGAGACAGTGTCTCCCTGTAGCCCCAGTCAATCTGGAACTTGCTAAGTAAACTAGGCTGGTCTTGAACTCAGAGATCCACCTACCTCTGCCTCCTGAGTGCTGAGATCAAAGGTGTGCTCCACCATTCCTGGCCAACATAAGTTTTTTTAAGGCTAGCCTGGTGGTATACACATACACACACACACACACACACACACACACACACACACACGCACGCACGCACAGAGTCAGAACCGGGTGCAGTAGTTCATGCCTTTGATCCCAGAACTCCAGAGGCAGAGGCAGGTGGATTTCTGTGAGTTCGAGGCCAGCCTGTCTACTTGGTAAGTTCTAGGCCAGCCAAGCCTACATAGTAAGACTCCCATCTCAAAAAAAGAAATGCTCAGGAACAGAGAAGGTAAGAGAATATGGTAATTGCTTTACAATGAGTACTACATATTATCTACCCAGTTTTATTTAAATAAGCCTCAGTATGTTAGGAATCATTACTCTACTACTCTTCACCAAAAGAGATAAAAGTAGTGGGCTGGAGAGATGGCTCAGCAGTTAAGAACACTGGTTGTTTTTGAAGAAGACCTGGGTTCAAATCCCAGCACCCACATGGCAGCTAACGACTGTCTGTAACTCCAGTTCCAGGGGATCTGACGACCTCTTCTGTCCTCCGTGGGCATTGCAAGACACAGGTGCACTTACCTACATGCAAGCAATACACTCATACACATAAAAAATAATAAATAATAAATAAAAATTTTTTGGATCTTTTTGAAACAGGGTCTCCCTGTAGCCCCAGCTGTCCTGGAACTCACTATGTAGACCAGGCTGGCCTTGAATTCACAGAGATCCACCTGCCTCTGCCTCCCGAGTGCTGGGATTAAAGGCGTGCGCCACCATGCCTGGCTAAATAAAATATATATTTTTTTAATTTTTAAAAAGAGATAAAAGTAGTGTGGTAGCAAGCATTTAAGACAACTTTTATCATTTTATTACAGAATTGCTCTACAAAACAAAAGTGGTTTAATTTAATAAAGATAAATTTGAGCATTTGTTAATTTTGTTATTTAATTATTTGTTAAAATAATACAAAAAACTTTATTACATTTATTTAGATAGTGTGTGTGTGTGTGTATGTGTAGAGGTCAGAGGACAATTTGTGGGAGTCAGTTTTCTCCTTCTACCATGTGAGTCCTGGGGATCAAACTCAGGTTTTCACAATTGGTATAAGTACCTTTGCCCATTGAGCTACCTCACTAGTCCAAACTTATGATCATTTTGAATAATGGTTAGTCATATCTATAATCCTATGTCAATTATGCTATAGACTAAAGAAAATTTAACTTTTTCATTTAGCTGGCATTAATACAAAGAATGTCAGGGATTTTTAAATTTCAAACAATTACACTAATTCAATGAATAGCTATATACTTATCAATTACACGAATACGTGTCCAGTGAAGCAGTAATGGCGATATAATGTAATATTGCCACATAAAGTTTCATGAGAGAATACTTAAACCATGATGTCATAAAAACTTACCAGATTAGCCATATTTGGACGCAGATCTGAAAGTGCAGTGAAGGTCCACAATGCAAAGGAGTTTGCCATGCTTTAAATCTATGTTTTAGAAAATAGATTTTATTAAAATATTGAAAAAAAATCATGAAAAATTCCAAAATTTAAAAATCTAGGAAATTCTGGCAAGGTAGCACATGCCTTTAATCTCAGCAATCAGGAGTCAGAGGCAGGCAGATCTCTGTGAGTTTGAGGCCATTTTGGTCTACATAGTGAGTTCCAGGCCAGCTGGGGCTACAGGGAAACCCTGTCTCAATAAGACAAAAAAAAAATGGAAGCAAGAGGATCAGGAGCTCAAGGACATCCTCTGCCTGCTACATAACAACTTCAAGGCCAGCCTGAGTGACATGACACTGTCTCAAGAAAACAACAGGGGTTTGGAGAGATGGCTCAGGGGTTAAGAGCAGGCTGCTCTTGTAGAGGACCCAGGTTTGATTCCCAACACCTACATGATAGCTAACAATCATTAGTAATTCCAGTTCCAGGGGATCTGATGCCCTCTTCTGATCTCTGTGGACATTGAACAACATGGTTACACATAAAAAATAACAAAATATTTTAAAAGAAAACAAAAACAAAAATAATAAAAGGAACCTATTCAAGTTCAGATTGTCCTTTAATAATCTTAAATTACATAGCTAAATCTGGCTAAGGTGTCATGTTCCTATAGTTCCAGTTACTCAGGAGGCTGAGGCAGGAGAATCCCTTAAGCCCAAAAGACCTGTTCAAAAGTAGCCTGATATAGCAAGGCTTTGTCAAAAAAAAGAGGGTGGGGGTACTGGAGAGATGGCTCAGCAGTTAAGAGCACACATTGCTCTTGCAGAAGACCCAAGTTCAGTTCCTAGCACCTATGTTGGGTAACTCACAACTGCCTATAACTCCAGTTTCAGAGGATACAATATGCTCTCCTGGCCTCTGCAGGCGCCTACACACAAGAGGCATACAGTCACACACATAAATAAAAACAAATCTTTTTTTTAAAAAGTGACTGACATAGCTGGATTTCAATTTTTCACTTTCTAAAACTACTAAAGACTGAGCAATTTTTGAGTGTCAAGTAAATTTAGAGTTTTGGATGAAAGATGATTCACTGGGGCAACTGAAGATTTAAATATTCATTAGCATCAGGTGTGCCTAAAAAGCTACAACAAAACTCTAAACACCTCAAATCTCACATTTGTCCCCACTTCATAGGGAAAGGCCATGATTTAAAACATCATGCTAAATTCTATGAGGTCTGAGGTGGCATCACACATATTTTTATATGTGTTTCTTTCTCCTTTTAACTTTTTTAGTCAGGGTCTTTCTTTATTGCTCCAGTTGGCCTCCAACTCTTAGGTTCAACTGCCTCCCACTTCAGTCTCCTGAGTGCTAGGAATACAGGCATGCATCACTTTACCTGACTGCATTTTAGTGCTACCTATCACATAGAAAAACATCAATAAATAACAAATAAATGAACAGTTGCTTTTCCCCTCACTATCATCGCTATAAAAGGTTTTGTTTTTTGGGGTGTGTGTGTGTGTGTGTGTGTGTGTGTGGTGTATGTGTGTGGTACATGCATTTGCAGAGATCAGGGCATTTTCCTCTATTGCTATACACCTTTATTTTGTGTGAAATAGGGGTCTCACTACGTAGTTCTAGCTGGCATGGAACTCACTATGTAGACCAGGCTGGCCTTGCACTCAGAGATCCATCTGCCTCTGCCTCCCTAGTGCTGAGATTATAGATATGTGACACCTTGTCTGGCTTGCTCTCCACCTTTTTTGAGAAGTAATGAGAAATGTCTCCTATAGCTCATGTATTTGAACATTGGGTTCCCATTTGGTCGTGCTATTTGGGGAGGTTATAGAACCTTTAGAATGTGGAGCCTTGCTGGAGGAAGTACACTACCAGGGTGGGCTTTTATAGCCTCACATCCTATTCTCTTGCTCTGCTTCCTGTTGTGTGGATGGAAATGTGATCAGCCGCCTTCCCAGTCTTGATGGACTTTTTTTGGAATTATAAGCCAAAATAAACTTTCTTCTTTAAGATGCTTTTGGTCATGGCATTTTATCACAGCAACAGAAAAGTAACTAATACAGCCTCTTTAACTCTACGAGTGCCCTCATGCCCAGACTTCATTCAGTTCTAGGAGGTATCTCACTAATACCTACATTTCAGGGAGTTTGTAAAATTAGTTAAATATGATTTTGCATTCCAGCACCACTATTTTCTGGTCCTATATTTTGTTTATTTTTGGTTTTGGTTTTGTTTAGTCTTTTTGAAACAGGGTCTCCCTGTAGCCCCAGCTGTCCTGGGGGCTCAAACTCACTATGTAGACCAAGGTGGCCTTGAATTTACAGAGATCTGCCTGCCTTTGCCTCCCAAGTGCTGGAACTACAGGCATGCACCACCATGCCCAGCCTATATTTTGACATTAATTTCCTCATTCTTAAAAGGTATTTTGCACTAAGAATTAGTGCCTAGATGGTCACAGGCCTTCAAGAAATTACATTACTGATTTTCAATAATATCCAATATAGCAGTTTTTAAAAAAAATTCCTGGCATTGTTGTCCCAGAAGAAAGAATTGGAAATTAAATGATGTTAAATCTCTCACTCATTCTTTGACATGGGCTGATCTGACTTGTGCAATTTCATTTTCTGAAATTCTTGCCAAAGAATTTCATCATCCATTCAACAAACAGCTATCATAGTTTTAAAAAATTGTTTGGGGAGAAGCATGCACATGCTGTGGAAGTCAGAGGACATCCTGTGGGAGTTGGTTCTCAACTTTCACCACATGGGCACCCAGGATCAAACTTAAGATTGTCAGATTTGGCTTCAAGTGCTGGTGCCTTCTCACTTGCCCCTTCAACAAAGTTATTAAAGAGCCCATCAAGCCAGGCTTGGTGGCACACGCCTTTACTGCCAGCACTTGGGAGGTAGAGGCAGGTGGATCTCTGTGAGTTTGAGGCCAGCCTGGTCTACATAGTGAGTTCCAGGCCAGCTGGGGCTACAGGAAAACCATGTCTCAAAAAGACCAAAAAAAAAAAAAAAAAAAAGAGCCCATCAAAGGCAGAGTAGCACACCTGTAATTCCAGCATTCAGGCTCAGGCAGGAGGACTAGAGACCAGTTTAAGCAACATAGTGAGACCCTGTCTCTAAATGCAGTCATTTGAAACTGGAGAAAAATTATAAGGTAGATTGTGCTTAAAAATACCCACCCTGTGGGCTGGAGAGATGGCTCAGCAGTTAAGAACACTGGCTGTTTTTGCAGAAGACCCAGGTTCGAATCCCAGTACCCACATGATAGCTAACAACTGTCCATAACTCCAGTTCCAAGGGCTCTGACTGCCTCTTCTGTCCTCCGCAGGCATTGCATGACACAGGTGCACTTACCTACATGCAGGCAATACACGCATACACATAAAATAAAAATCATAAAGTAATTTTAAAAAATATCCACCCTAGCCAGGTGTGGTGGCGCACACCTGTAGTTCCAGCACTCGGGAGGCAGAGGCAGGTGGATCTCTGTGAGATCAAGGCCAGCCTGGTCTACATAGTGAGTTCCAGGTCAGCTGAGGCTGCAGGGAGACCCTGTCCCCCCAAAAAAAAGCCAAATAAAATACCCAACCGTACATACTAAGTGGGTTCTCCCCCTTAATATTTGGGTTTGGTGACTTACATGATATGATCTTCTTTGAAATTCTTTCAAATCCTATGATTATCTGAAGTATATGGTTGATATACTTTAGTTATCTGTTCACAAAAATATATGATTTGCTTCACTACCTAGATGTTTTGAGAATATAAGATTAATGAGGAATAAAGAACTCAATATAAAAATTCAGAAGTTATATAATTCATCATAAACTACTATTTCTTTAGTTTTTTGAGACAGGGTCTCAAGTAACTCAGGCTGACCTTGAACTCACAACATACGGGATCATGATCCTGAGCTCCTGATCCTCCTGCTCCCACCTGTCAAATTCTGAGAATAAAGATCTGTGTCAAGCCAGGAGTAGTGGCACATGCCTTTAATCCCAGCACTCCGGAGGCAGAGGCAGGTGGATCTCTGTGAGTTCAAGGCCAGCCTGGTCTACATAGTGAGTTCCAGGACAACTGGGGCTATAGGGAAACCCTGTCTCAAAAAGACCAAAAAATGTTTTTTGCTTAATTCTGGGGCTGGAGAAATGGCTCAGTGGTTAAGAACGCTAACTGCTCTTGCAGAAGACCCAGGTTCAAATCCCAGCATCCACATGGCAGCCAACAACTGTCTGTAACTCTAGTTCCAGGGGATCCGATAGCCTCTTCCGTCCTCTATGGGCATTGCATGACACAGGCACACTTACCTACATGCAGGCATAACACTCATACACATAAAATAAAAATAGAAAATAATTTTTTGGGTTTTTTTTGTCTTTTTGAAGCAGGGTCTCCCTGTAGCCCCAGCTGTCCTGAAACTCACTATGTAGACCAGGCTGGCCTTGAACTCACAGAGATCTGCCTGCCTCTGCCTCCCAAGTGCTGGGACTACAGGCATGCGCCGCCATTTAAAAAATTGATTAATTCATATGTGCATTGTGTGATAAAGGATTCAGATCAAGAATCATAAGTGCTAGATCTGTAGGATGGTCACCAGAACCACTCCCTGTACCTACCCAGGAGTCTCAGGGAGGAGCAATGAAAGCACAGGTCTCCGCTATACCAAGATCCTTAGTAAAGATGGAGGGAAAGAAGTTACAGTGGTGAAACTCTGCCAGTTAAAGGTTACAATGAGGGTGATGCCATAGATGCCTGTTATGGGGCTGTGCCTATCCAAGAGACAGGACACTAAAACATCTCCCACAGTGCCTCTACTCAGATCTCCCTCTCTCACCTCTTGAACCCACCTTCATCTTTAAAAGTGACTTCCTACCTTGATCTAAGCCCAGACTGACTGACCTGGTCAGTTTCTCCCAGGACCTTCCTGGTCCTTTGTTGAAGGTATGGCCTGGCTAAATCTCTCCTTGTTCCTTGCTAGAGCTTTCCTCCAGAGGAAAAAGCTGTATTACTGGTTGGTCCTTACTGTCTCAGGGGCTCTGGCATGAAAGAAGAGGATTCTCTTAACCATGATAAGGATGACTGTTAATTGCTTCTTCTGAGGAGGTGTCTAGCTGACAGGGAAGATGTCAGGCAGTCCTTAAGCCCACTGACTTTCTAATTTTGAGGCTATGGTCAAATTGAGCAAGTCAGTTAGATTCAAATCCTGGCCTTAAAGAGGAATTGAGAGCATAGAGGTGGAGGGGAGTTTATGGTACTGATGAGCCCAAATATGTGTGTGTATGAATGTGGGCATGCATGCACATATGTGTACATTTATGGCTATGTAGGCTATCTGTTCTTTTCTAGGCTGGAAGCTGGGTGTTGCACAGATGCCATGGAGCTACGTCAGAATTTCCCACCAGAAAATTCCATTTCCATTCATTCTTTTGTTGCTAATATTTCTTCTCCTTCAAAATGGATCATGATGGTACATCCCCTTTGATCTCTTGGCTACATGAGCCCCTATCAAAAAATAAATAAATAAAAGTCTGGTTATATAGTCCAGGCTGGCCTTGAAATTTTATCCTCTCCATCAGCCTCTAGAGATTGCCGGGTTTACAGGCATGTGCTACTATGCTTTTCCTCTTGTCTCTCTTGATCTGTGCCGGGAGTTGATCTGAGTATTTGCTGACCAAATTAAATCAAGTTCTAAAAATATTCGATGTGTAATTTGAGGATAATATTGCTACAATTAGCATTTTGGATAAATAAGAATTCCAGTTGGGCTGGACATGGTGGCGGTGCACGCCTTTAATCCCAGCACTTGGGAGGCAGAGGCAGGCAGATCTTTGTGAGTTTGAGGCCAGCCTGGTCTACATAGTGAGTTCCAGGACAGCTGGGGCTACAAGGAGACCCTGTCTCAAAAAGACAAAAAAAATTCTAGTTGATATCTAATATTAAGTTCATACCATTTAAGTTATGGGTACAAGAGTAGTTTATATCTTGCTATTTTAGGCAAAAGAAGCTTCTAAAGAACTGGAAGGTGTCTTTCCTATGATTTTCTAGTTATTCTAAATACTGATTCTAGGAAGGGCAACTACAAGAAGTCCTTCTGTAAGTTCATTTCTATACAGAATATATTTACAACTTTCCAACACAAACCACAAATTTTGGGTTGATTTTTTTATGTGCATGAGTGTATTGCCTCCATGTAAGTGAACCATGTCGTGCAATCCTGAGGAGTTTAGATGACGGCATCTGATCCCCTAGAACTAGAATTATAGATATTTGTTAGCCGCCATGTGGGTGCTGGGAACCAAACCCCAGTCCTCTGCAAGAGTAGCCAGTGCTCTTAACCACTGAGCCATCTCTCCAGCCCCAAACCAATTTTTGTAACAAGATTTGATAAAATTAGAGCTTCTTACTCTTATACAAGGAAATAGTTTCCTTTCGCCTGCTGCTTCAATGAGAATTTAACAAGCTTTGCTTTACTAAATTATAGATGACTTCCAAACACTCTCGGTTGTCCATTAGAAAATTGGTCTACTGGCTATCACAATAGAAAATCCCCCACTGTGGAGACAGAAGAAAGTATTACTAGTTCTAAACTTCTAGTTTCAAATTTTTCAGGACTCCTTTTTTTATTATTTTTATTTTATGTGTGAGTGTATTGCCTGCAATGTATGTAAGTGCACCCATGTCATGCAATGCCTGTGGAGGTCAGAAGAGGGCCTGGGATCCCCTGGAACTGGATTTACAGATATTTTTTAGTTGTCACATTGGGTGTTGGAAATCAAACTCAGATCGTGTGCAAGAGTAGTCAGTGCTTTTAACTGCTGAGCCATCTCTTCAGCCTCCAGGACTGCTTTTTTTTTTTTTTTTTTGGAAGCAGGGTCTCCCTGTAGCCCCAGCTGTCCTGGAACTCACTATGTAGACCAGGCTGGCCTTGAACTCACAGAGATCCACTTGCCTCTGCCTCCCAAGTGCTGGGACTACAGGCGTGCGCCACCACGCCTGGCTCTTGGACTGCTTTTTAAAAAGGATTTTAGGGGCTGGAGAGATTGCTCAGTGGTTAAGAACACTGGTTATTCTTGCAGAAGACCCGGGTTCAAATCCCAGCACCCACATGGCAGCTAACAACTGTCCGTAACTCCAGTCCCAGGGGATCCGACAGTCTCTTCTGACCTCCATGGGCATTGCACACCAGTACACTTACCTACATTGAGGCAATATATGCATACACATAAAATAAAAAAAATTTTTTTAAAGGATTTTAAAAACAAAGCGTGAGGCCAGTAAGTAAGGGCACTTGCTGCCATGCCTGGCAACCTGAGTTCGATCCCCAAAATCCACATGGTGAAGGGAGAGAACCAACTTCCAAAAGTTGTTCTCTTCCACACATGCATCATTGCACATGTGTACCCCCCTAAACACATTCACATATACACAGATATTTTAGTGTGTGGTAGACACACATACACATACACACACACACACACACACACACACACACACACACCTGTATAGAGAGAAGAGGAAGGGCATCCTGCTCTATCACTCTCTTACTTCTTTGAGACAGTCTCTCTCTGCAACTGGAGCTAAACTGACTAATGGCCAGCAAGCCCCCAGTGATCTCCTATCTCCACCCACCACACATGCAGCCATGCTCCACTTTTTATGTGGGTGCTAGGATCCAAGCCCAGGTCCTTATGCTGTTACAGCAAGTGCTTTTTCCCACTGAATCATCTCTCCAACCCCATTCAGTGTTTTACCATGTATTTTGATTATTCCAACTGCATATCGTTCTGGAAAAGGTTAAACTCTGGATATAGTAAAAAGATCAGTAATTGCCAAGGGGTGAGACAGGTAGGAGTAAAGAAAGACTGTGAAACACAGGGGATTTCTAGGTCAGGGAAAGCAGTCTGCAGGGTCTTGTAATAGTGGGTAGGTGACATGCTTTTCTCAAAACTTAGCCCAATGGAAATTGAAAGAGTATACATATATATGCATATATTTGATAGGATATATAGTATTTATATAGAATATAGGTCATGTAGGCATATTTACTCATACATGTTCTACCCTGGTAGATATTTTCTCCAGGAATGACATACACACATATGACTGTTCCACAGGCTTCTGCATATATCCTGTCACTTCCCCCTTAAAACCTCTCTCAGCTAGATGTGGTGGCATATACGTGTAATCCCAGCACTAGTGAGCTGAAAGCAAAAGGATCAAGAGTTCAGGCCAGCCACAGCTACATGCGAATTTAAGGTCAGCCTGGGGAGAGATTCTGTCTCAAAAAAGGAAGGAAGGGGGCTGGAGAGATGGCTCAGTGGTTAAGAACACTGACTGTTCTTGCAGAAGACCTGGGTTCGAATCCCAGCACCCACATGGCAGCTAACAACTGTCCGAAACTCCAGTCCCAGAGGATCCGACACCCTCTTATGTCCTCCGCGGACATTACACGACACCAGTGTACTTACTTACATGCAGGCAATACACGCATACACATAAAAATAAAATTTAAAAAAAAAGGAAGGAAGCACAAAAAGGAGGGAGAAAGGGAGGGAGGGAGAGAAAAGCAGAGACGGGGAGGGATGGAGGGAGAGTGACAGTAAGAGGGACGGGGGAGAGGAGAGAAGAGTGAAGCAGGAAGGGAGGAGAAAGGAAGGGGGAGTGGGAAGGGGGGGAGAGAGAGCAAATATGAATGAGAGTTCCTCCTCCAGGATTTAGAGTGGTGGCTGGCTTGTAATCCAGGACACAGGAGGCAGAGGCAGGAGAATCACAAGTTCAAGGCCAGCCTGTGTAGACTACGTAGGAAGGTCCTATCTCCAAAACACAAAATACAGAAGACTGTCTCTGGGACCTGATCGTTCTTGACCTGTTTCAGGAGAACCAGGGGAGAAGACAACCCCGGATGAGACTCCTGCCAAGGAGGAAACTGACTGGAACCAGGCTGATACGGTAGTATGGACCTAAAGGAGTGAGACACTGACATGGAGGGACCCTGTCCTGGTGAGGAGGGACCTGAAGGAGGGAACAGGCAAGGAAGGATCTGACTAGAAGAGGCCTGAAAGGGAGGAACCCGGAGGGAAAAAGAGACCTGAATAGACGCGACTTGACCAAGGCCTGCGCGGTGGCCCGAATTTTCCGGGCCCAGGCACGCGCAACCCACGCGCGGGCTTTCGTCAGCTATCGCCTGAGACGCCCCAGCCCTCATTACTGGAATAAAGCCTCGTGCTGCCGGCCTCCACAGCAGACCACTGCGCCCAGGCTCACCGGATACTCCTGGGCTTGCTGCTACAGGGCACGCAACCCCGCGCTTTTCGCTCTCTGGACTTTCTACCCGGAGCTTCGAGAACAACCTGGGCTCGGCGCAAGTCCCTCGAGCTACCGTTAACCCGAGGCCCCGCCCCTGCTGCTCGCTGCTCTCGCCCCCGTTTCTCGGTGGCTCCACCCCCGATGCTCTCTGACCCCGCCCCTGCCTCTCGCCTCCGCCTCTGTCGGTGGCCCCACCCTTCTGCGTGCCAGCCCCGCCCCTCGAATCCACAATTCTTGGGGAGGAACTGTCCATCCCAGGGACTCAGGCGGCCAAGGGCAGGCTCTGGACAGAAAGGACCAGGTATGCGAAGACCGTGAGCAGTTCCAACTCTCAGGTGTGAGAGAAACGGGAAGTAGAGTAGGATGAGAGCGAGCGAGGCATTTGCCTCAGTTCTCTGGCTAGGATCGCACTGGTGGCTCAGGCTGTCGGACTTAAGAAATGTGAGCGAATATAGGAATAATCTCTCTACATGTTCTATAATTGCAAATTTCTCCGTGAAGATACTAAATCACCTTAAATTAAATTAAATGTTCTCAATGTAAACAGAAAGTGCACCGAAGGAATAGAAGGACCTAAAAGTTGGTAAGAGGGCCTGGAGAGATGGCTCAGTAGTTAAAAGCACCGTTTGCTCTTGCAGATCCAGTTGGGTTCCTAGCAACCACATGGCGGCTAACAACAGTTCCGAACTCCAGTTCCAGGGGCTCTGACACCTTCTGGTCTCTGCACGCATTATACCCATATAGTTACAAACATGCAGGCAAAACACTCATGCGCATAAAATGAAAACTTTTTTCAAGTTGATAGGGTTGTGCTAAGTGCTTCTGACAGATCCCTGCAGAGTCAGCAGCTGGTGCAATCAGGGATAACCAGTCACTGTCACTAAGGGAGTTTCCTTGGTGGTATCATGAACCATGTACATCAGGAGATGCACATAAAATATTATGTAAAGTATGCAGTAGCATTTGAAACTATCACAATACTATATGAGAAGATAATACTCTATGTTCATCTCGTAAGCAGCTATATGTGTATATATACATATGTATGAAAGTCTATATGCAGATGTAATTAGAAGTGGACCTAGGAGAACATGACCACAGATTTGCTAGCCCTTTGTGCTTTAAATTACTACTGTATGGAGTCCTGCATGGTGACTCAAGCCAGTAAATCTAGAACTTAAGAGGCTTAGGTTGGAGGATCATGAGTTTCAGGCTTGCCTGGTCTATATAGTGACTTATTTCAGGCCAGCCTGGGCTACACATCTAGACCTAGAAAACAAAAAGTTTGAGGCAAGCCTGGACTACATAGACCCTGTCTCAAACAAACAAAATACCATATAAAAATCTTAGTCTACTCTTCTCTTTCTCTCTCTCTCTCTCTCTCTCTCTCTCTCTCTCTCTCTCTCTCTCTCTCTCTCTCTGGCATTGTGACTGTACTCAAGCACTAAGGAGACCTGAGTCTTCATGACATGTAAATTCCTCGCATCTAAACAGGCTTCAAAAAATTTTTCTGTGAGACTGCTCTATATAAAAAAAAAAAAATCTTAGTCTAAATTCCAAGACAGTAGGCAATCCTGTGGCCTACTTGGAATTGGAATCCATATAGATAACATTTCAAGAGAGATACCCTGTTGGTTTTGACTGGATAGTCATATAAACTTTTTAAAGAGATGAGTGATAAAGCTAACCTTATCTGTAAGTTTGAATTTATATTGTTTCATTCCATGTACAAAACCATTTTTTCCTAAAAAAAAAAAATCTTAGTCTAAGCTGGGTATGGTGGTGCACACCATTAGTCTCAGCACTTGGGAAGCAGAGGCAGGAAAATCTCTGTGTTCTATATAGCGACTATATACTTGGTCTACAAAGCGAGTTCCAGGCCAGTTGGGGCTACAGGGAGACCCTGTGTCAAAAAGACCAAAAAAAAGGCTGGGCATGGTGGCACATGCCTTTAATCCCAGCACCCGGGAGGCAGAGGCAGGTGGATCTCTGTGAGTTCAAGGCTAGCCTGGTTTACATAGTGAGTTCCAGGACAGCTGGGGCTACAGGGAGACCCTGTCTCAAAAAGACCAAAAAAAAAAAAAAAAAAACCACAAACAGTCAACTATTATTCAGCCATGTTACAAAAAATACATTTAAGGCAGGTTTTACATTACCATCAAAATATAATTTTTGTGGATGGTAGCACACACCTTTAATCCCAGCATTTGGGAAGCAAAGGCAAGAGGATCTCTATGAGACTGAGGCCAGCACGGTCTACATGAAGGAGAGTGCCCCTCAGACACCCTCCCTGTCCTCTGAGAAAGAGCTGCCCTCTGCCTGACTCTGGAAATCCCCTAGATTATTCAAACCCTTTCCTGGTACATCTATTTATGGTTTCTATGGAAATGGTCTGGGGCAGGAGAAGAAGAATGGTCTGCCCCAGGTAAGCTAGCCAATGGCTGTATAGGTTAAGGCTCTGGAAATCAGCCCTAGATTATTCATCCTTTCCTGGTTCTTCTGTTTATGGTTTCTATAGACATTCCCAGCTCTGTGGGTTTTGTGCTTAAAAGTCCTACGTTTCCACAGCTCTGGGTCTCAGTGCAGCTCTCGACCCTGCCTGTATCTCTTGCTGGTCGGTCTTAATAAAGCAGCTAAGTTTTCCTGAGTCTCTGTGTCCAAGTGGTCAGTTCAGGGAATTCTTCAGACCCGGAACATACATAATGAATTCCAGACCAGCTGGGGCTACAAGGAGACCCTGTCTCAAAAACAAAAACATAATTTTTTTTTTTTTGTCTTTTTTGAGACAGGGTCTCCCTGTAGCTCCAGCTGTCCTGGAACTCACTATGTAGATCAGGCTGGCCTCAAACTCACAAGGATCTGCCTGCTTCTGCCTCCCAAGTGCTGGGATTAAAGGCGTGCGCCACCATGCCTGGCCCTATATAATTTTTTAATTTTTTCCTCACTTAAAAAAATTCCCAGGGACTGAAGAGGTGACTCAGTGGTTAAGATACTGGCTGCTCTCAGTTTCTTGGCTAAAAATCAAAATGTCCTTGGGCCTGTTAGCAACATACTCTGCTCCAAAGGCCAAAAATGTCAAAAGTATTTGGAAGCTTGTAGCTAATCCTTAAAAGATTTTAGGGTTACCTCTTCAGAGGGGGGAATGTTGGAGGGGAGGGAGTGGGCATGGATTTGATCAAAATACCTTATAAGCATGTATGAAATTCTCCATAAAGTTTTTTGGTTTTTTTTTTTTCTTTTGGTTTTTTTTGAGACAGGGTCTCCCTATAGCCCCAGCTGTCCTGGAACTCACTATGTAGACCAGGCTGGCCTTGAACTCACAGAGATCCACCTGCCTCTGCCTCCCGAGTGCTGAGATCAAAGGCGTGTGCCACCACGCCGGCTCCATAAAGTTTTTGTAAAATATTTTTTTTAAAAAAAGTAAAATATCTTAAGAGGTAGAAATAATCACAGAATCAGAGACATAAAAAACTCATCTAAACTCTGTATCAACTCTATATAAATAAAAGCAAAACTTCAACTGAAAAAAAAATTGAAAGTTTAAAAAAAATACTGGCTGATCTTGCAGAGGACCCAGGTTCAGTTCCCAAAACCCACATGGCAGCTAGCAACCATCCTTAACTCCAATTCCAGGGAATCCAATGCCCACGTTTGGCCTCCATGGGCACTGCATGCACATGGTATACTTATACACATACAGGCAAAATATTCATGCACACTAAATAAATAAATAATTCCCAAGTGATAATGGAAAGCAAAATAAAGTACCTCCTACCACTTCAAATTTAATAGAAAAAAACTTTAGCTGGGCATGGTGACACACATTTTTAATCTTAACACTGGAGCAGCAGAGGCAAGCAAGTTTCTGAGTTCAAGGCCAGCCAAGGATACACAGTTTTTACTGTCTCAAAAAAAAAGGGGGGGGGGAGCTGGAGAGATGGCTTAGCAGTTAAGAGCTCTTGCAGAAGTTCTGGGTTTGATTTCCAGCACCTACACAGTGGCTAACGACCATCCAATAACTCCGGTTCCAGGGGATCCGATTCCCTCTTCTGACCTCTGAAGGCATTGCACAACACAGAGGTATTTACATACATGTGGGCATAAAATATTTTTTTTAAAAAGCCAGTGTGGTGGCTCATGCCTTTAATCCCAGCACTCTGGAGGCAGAGGCAGACAGATATTTGGGAGTTCCAAGACACACATGGTCCACATAGTGAGTTCCAGGCCAGCTGTGGCTACAGGGAAACCCTGCCTCAAAAACACAAAAATAAAATAAAATAAAAAATTTAAAAGAGGAAGTTGATGCTGGGCGTGGTGGCGCATGCCTTTAATCCCAGCACTCCGAAGGTAAGCGGATCTCTGTGAGTTCAAGGCCAGCCTGGTCTACATAGTGAGTTCCAGGACAGCTGGGGCTACAGGGAGACCCTGACTCAAAAAGACCAAAAAAAAAAGAGGGAGTTGTTTCCTGCGGCAGGTGAGATGGCTTAGCTCGTAAAGGTGCTTGCTGTGCAGACCTGCCAGCCTGAGTTCAATCCCTGGAGTCTACAATGGTAGGAGAGTTATTACATTTGGTGTTTGAGTGTACGCACAAAAGAAATAAGTAAATAAATATTTAAAATATTTGTTTCCTTATTCCTTTCTAGTCTGTCTGTATTACTTATTTGTTGTTTTACTTTGTTTGTTTGTTTTTGGTCTTTTAGAGACAGAGTCTCCCTGTAGCCACAACTAGCCTAGAACTCAAGAGGGAGACCAGGCAGGTCTTCATCTCACAGAGATCCACTTCTGCCTCCTGAGTGTGCCACTTTGCCTGGTGTTTTGTTTTTTGAGACGGAATCTCATGTAACTCAGGCTAACTTCAAACTATGTAACATAGAATGACCTTAAACTTCTGATCCTTCTTCTGATCTTCTACCTTGTGTTGGGATGACAGGCATACACCAATTTCAGGCTTTGCCTTGTCTTTATATTTTAGTTATTTTTATTTATTTTGGATGTGTGTCTGTCAGAGGTTAGAGGACAACTTGCAGGAATAATTTCTCTACTTTTTCTACTATGTGGGTCTCAGGGATCAAACTCAGGTAGTCAGGCTTTGTAGTAAATACCTTTGCCCACTGTGCCAT